CCCTTGATACTTATAAACATCCTCCTCCTCTCGCTAAAGATGTCCAAGAAGTATTAAAGCCAGTGTACGAAGACCTGACAAAACCAGAATTGCTTGAAAGATGTTTAGGTGGCAACACTCAAAATAATAATGAGTGCTTYAACAAATGYGTTTGGGCTATGGTGCCTAAACATCTATTTAATGGTAAAAAAATTGTGAAAATAGCTTGTCAATTGGCAGCTTGTATATTTAACGAAGGTTTTGATCCGATACTAAAAATAATGCACGTTTTAAAGATAAAACTTGGCCCTATCGCAGTCAATTACGCTAGTAACCGCGACAACACGCGTGTGCGTTCAGCCAATCGYTTGAGCGGAGAATCTTTAAAAGAGGCCAGGACACAACGAAAAWAGGTTAGAGTTGAAGAAAATGAGTATTTTGAAGAAGCAGAAGGCATACTGTATGGTGCAGGCATCGCAGAATAAGGTAAAGTCAAACTTTTTAAAAATTTGTTAAAAGAAACCTTAAACGCGTTTTTCTCGAAACAACGTTTTTTCGGTTGGCGGGCATGATATCTCCGAAACTACTCAACCGATCCTTCTGAAATTTTAACCACATACTCTACACATGAATGGCTATCTCGCATGCTACAACCAAGTAAAAATAATAATTTTTACTATTTTTTTTTTTACAAAAAACTGCGAAAAAAATCAACGATTGTTGTCATTTTGTTTTGCTTTCATAAAAATTGATAGTTTTAGCATACCCGATAGCCATTGTCATACTAAATTTAAAACCGTTTAATTTTTTTGTTTTAGATCACCCGTTCTCAAATTTTGATGCCCGCTAACAGCATACCTTTTTTTGAAGGGTTCACGTTTGTCAGCCTCTTTGGATGTCAAAAAATGTTCTGAATAATAAAAAAAAATTGTTTTCTTGTACTTCTAGAGTGTATTTATCATACCCAACAACTTTTATATGTATATGTATCTTACAAAACCTAAAAAAAATCGTGAAAATAGCCTTTTTTTTCGGCGTATAAACCAGAATGAACCCTTAAGGGGGTATTCTGATCTAAAAGCATGGATTTTAGGTACTTTTCAAGTGCAATAACAAAAAGACGAATAATATTTTCACTATCTATAATGTTACAAGATATTTATTAATATTTTAAGAATACATGAAAAAAAAAAAAATAGTGAAAAAATTCAAAATTGAAAAAGATATAGGCTGATGAAGTGGGGGGTCTCAAAAAATTGGTGCTCGACGGTTGTCACGATTGCAGCTCTTCTAATAATCCGAAATAAAAAAATAAAAAAGATTATTAACACTAGATTGCCCAAGGCAGTCATTTTGACTGTTTTTTATTTTCAATTAGAAAAACAATTATGTATATAATGACACAATTTCTTAGAATTAATAATAATTAATTAATTAATATTGTTAATATTTACTAATAACTTGTTGTATAACTGTAAATAATATAAGAAATATTAAAAATTAATTTTAAACAAATTTGTTTACACATTAGTTATTTTTTCACAATGCAGTCATTTTGACTGTTTTTGGGCAATATAGCTATACAAGAAATCTCGGGCAATCTAGTGTTAATTAAGAATAATGCCGCTATCGTACGAACTAAAAGAATTGAAAAAAAATTTTTGTTCACTAAACTACGGCTGTCTGAAAAAAGATACAATATTTTGACCACTTTTTTTACTGTTCCGAATTTTTTCAAAATAGTAGAAATTGAAAATTGTTGTAAGAGGTTTGATTAGTACGATAGAGAAATGCATAGAGAAGACTCTCACCAAATTTCAAATAAATCGGTTAAGTAGAACTTGAGATATCATTGCAACCGTGACAAAAAAAAACAGTTTCGCATAATAAGGGTAGGATATAGGAAGCCGCGTCACTAAAACAGCTATATCTCCGAAAATAATTAAAATTTTGGCTTGCCCTTTTAAGGACACATTCTTGAAAGGTTAAGCTTTGAAAATATCAAAAAAAAAAATTTGATTTTTTCAAATTTCTACACTAGAATACCCCCTTAATTAAGTGATTTACATAACCTCTAATATACTCAACACGTGTCACGAGTTCCCGCAAACAACGGCTATTGAGTTGTAAGTATAAATTATTGTTATACGTTTATTATAAAAAAAAATTGTTCTTTCTTATTTATAACGAAAATATTGTTGGGAATGGTGAAAAATGAATTTGGTGAAAGATAGATTTTTATTACAATTGGGAAATTTTTTTGTGTTTACTTATAAGAGCTCTAACTTCTACAGAATTTTTTTTTCACTATTTCTAACAATATGTATTTTCGATATAATTAAGAAAAATAAAATTGTTCGCTTTCGTGATACTATCTAATTTTTACATGTATATTTATCGTAAACAAAGATAAAATAAATTATTAATATAATAATATTTATCGTTAAATAATTCAATCAGTTCTATTTATGTGTTTTGTATTGTACAGTGAACAATGCCAACAAAACGCAAAGGGGCCAATTTGAGCCGTGATATAAATAAATGTAGAAGCATTCGAAATAGAAGAGTCCAAAGAACCGAAGAACAATTTCAGGAAGAAAATACTGGAGCGCGTGTGAGAATGGCGAGCTGAACGCAATGAAGTCATGAGATTAGAACAACGACAATCAAACCGTTTTACTGTTAATAGACGCAGAGCAATTGACCAACAACGCTAATAAGCACATCGAGCATTTGTAGCTAAATTATTCCTGCGTCTAGCATTCCAGTATGAGCCCGATATTGAATATTATGCTCATTTAAAAGTGGTAATTAGTGCTATGGACAAAAAATGCCCATATTGTCATTCTTTGAAATTCAAAAATGAACCATCCGGGATGTGTTGCGCGTCAGGGAAGGTACAACTACCTGAAATTGAAACACCACCGGAACCATTGAACGGTTTGCTTATCGGCACAGATCCAGATTCTAACGTGTTTCTGAATACCATTCAAACATTCAATTCATGCTTTCAAATGACATCGTTCGAAGCAACAGAATTAGTTCAAAATACTAATGCAAATGGTCAACAATACAATTCTACATTTAAAATCAGAGGCCAAGTTTATCATAAAATAGGCTCATTGCTGCCAATGCCAAACGAACAACATAAATTTTTACGAATCTACTTTATGGGCGGCGAGGACTCCGGAAGCGCACTAGCTAATCGGGTGGATGCATGTTGTGGCTACAATAACCTTGATTCATTCTTTGCCAGTCGCATCGGATGCTCTATTGAATGAGTACAATGAACTGTTGAAAATATTCAAATCCCACATGCACAAATTATAAAGCGATAATCACGCTATTGTTATTAATCCTGATAAAACACCAGTTGGAGAACACATTCGTAGATTCAATGCACCTGTTGCTGACAACGTTGCT